ATGACTCGATTCAGCTACGCTTTGTTAAATACTTGGTCATAGATGCCGCTTGAACATATTGCTTTCTCTGTCCAATACTTTGAAGTTATACCAGTCAATGACATGATTTTTCTGTGTGGCATGGTCTATGATTGCCGAAATATTAATTAGGGATTCCGACTGCTTCCTATCTGATCTAGTGAATTTCCTTCTTTCTTGGGTTTCTGTATCCAGCGAATTTGTTATTATACGCATTAATCAAACAGATTATTAAAACTATGTCAGACCAATAATTTCTGCATTCATGCTTAGTTCAGCATATTTTGCTAATCTTGGCGTTTATATCTTGTATAGCTATACTGGTTTGGACGAGAAGGGTTGTGACAGAATGTAAGTAAACAAATGTAAACATTTTTGATATTAACAATGTCGGGGAAGTCGTCAGCATATTTGAAGTGAAATCAAGTACAAAATACACAACGAAAAACCCGCGACGTAAATGAATGAAATCATCTTCAAATTGAGTGTATTTTATATAAATTGATAATCTACATTTATAGTAGGTATAAATTACTGCACTTTATGTGGACTAACGTATTGATGTATTATTTCTATTTTATCGTTTATCTCAAAAAGTGCAAATTAACAAATGTGTTCCTTATTGATTCATTTAACCTGATTTTGTTGTATAGTAGCTTCTAAAAAGATGGAATATTAAACATACGGAATTTATATTCTGTTGAAATCGTCGACTGAAAAATCTACAAATGGAAAAATCAACAAAATCCGACTTACAAATGAAATGTATATGTGTGTACAATGATTTGCCTTTTAGAAGCATTTTAATTGGCTAGACCTTTACACTGACCTATCAAAATCGGGTTTTGTCGGAAATTCCCCTCTTTGTCTATTGAATAAATAATTCCATTGGCCAGATTTGACTTTGCTTTTGAGTTTGTTTTTTGGGTTGCAAACAAGAACAAAATTTGGGGATAGACATTACATTTACGTAGATCATCTTTATTTCAGAAGTGACCAGCTCAGGGATTGGTGGCAGCAGTAAGTTATATTTCTAATATTTTATTTTTTTAAATCAACCGATAAATAATTAGCACATCATTTTGCATATTTTGAATATTGCGAAATGCTGTTCATGTTTGGTTCTGTCTACTTCAATTTTGTATTATTTTACTACAACTAATCTTGTATTAAATTTGGTATTTATAGAATATATCTGATTAAAGTTTATTTTTATGATACGAAGAGACAACTGATTTTTATATACAATTAGTGTAAACCTAAATTTGTCATTGTAGGAAAAGGCAAAGATGGTATCATATTTAGGCAATCGTCGTTTTCAATCAATATCGAAGCCAACTCAAATTGTTAAAACATGTAACAAAGACGATTCTTTTCTAAATCTAAAGATAATGTTTAATACTTGCATAAGGAATCTCTCATTATGAAAAGAAATGAGCAATGCTGCTAATAATATGATGTCTCGCATTAAACCAGTTGCATACAGTAACAATATGTAATAGAACATAACCGTTTTATATATTTTTCACTCGAATCACTCAAAATTGACAACACTTTGACGGAATGAAAATACAACATTTTTGCAGCTGCACATAGTCACGGTTTATATGTGAGCTGAAAATGCATGTTTCTTTTCAGAATGAACAATTTTGAAAACAAAGAACAAAGGTTTGACCTATACTTCCATTGCTGCTTTTAATCTGCTCACGAACAAAATTATACAGTCAACCCCGTCAGGTCAAACTTGTTCAGATTAATAACTAACAAAGACAAATGTTAAAGTAATTCGAAGTTAAAGACGAAACAGAATGTAAGGGAAAGGTCGCAATATCGAACTCAACGAAAGCATATATTGCTTAATATTTACATCTCTCCATTCTCCAGCTTAGTAAATGTGCAATGAAAAAGGCTCGGCGTATTGATACCTGATTCAAAAATGCCGCTGTTAACGTTCCAGTGAGATAACTGTTCGATGACAGCAATTGTTTGGTTCCTTCATCACCTAGTAACATGGAACATATTTATGATCCATTATATCTGTTTATTGAACAAAATGATGCTGAAAAACTTCTTATTCCATGGGAGCGCAGTTATAATTCTTTGACGGTAAAGCTAACAAAAGCGGCCCACATTTTGCGACGTTCGACACACAGTGTGTCAATGCGTGTATATTACTACCGTTAGAAATGAATAAGTTGTTCGAAAAAGAGCTTATTTTATTACTTAATTAAAATTTTAAAAGCGATGAAAAGAAGACAAATAGTGTTGTTCACTGCGTATTTTCTCATTTTACTCATATATCGATGTAGATTCAATGGAATAATAGTAACCTAGTTACAACAGCTACCGTAGATACCATCGTAGCAACCCGCTTTGACTGCTTTTTTTTTCTTTTCAAAGTTATTTATGATCTTTCAAGATACGAGGTGGTAGACTCTATGGGTGGATGTTTCAGTTTACGAAGTTAATAGCCACGAGTATAAGTTCAGAGTAGTTGCATAGACCATGATATTCACACTTTACCCATTATTAAATTGTTATCAACCAGTACTCCTGTAATGTTAACAATTCATATATTGAAGAAATTTTACGTTTCGCCTCTTGTGTCTCAACAGAAGTTAAAACCCATTTGAATTTTCACCTTTTTGGCCTTAGCATTATCCACGAGTCCTAGAAAGACGAAACGGTTGTATGGTTTTATTCATTTTGGCATACCATATCCATCATATGTATGTATATCGTGTGCACATTATATAGTTTCTGCAATCATTTAAATATCTAAATTTATGTTATATTAACCTCATCTTCTTCTCATGGAAGTTAATGATTTTTTATTAGTACTCAAAATAGCGCACACGGATGTTTAAAGCAGATTCTAAGAAATATAATTTCGTCGAAATATGCTATTTTCTTTATATCGTTTCAATAGAATATAGCTTGAGAGACTTAAAAATACATGTTTCTACAAGTAGGGACAGTCACTTTCATCTCAGTTTCTGATCCGTACTTAAATTTTCATATGGCTCGTTAAGCTCTGTGGCTTTCGTTTTTTAGCAGCTTCTATTTCACATAAAAAACATATAGTTATGCCGTATATTTAAACAAATTATTAAAAAGCATTTGATGCACAAGTGATTATATTGTGCGGTGTGTGATAACTAATATTTTACCTTAAATAAATATCTTTTTGCATCGTATATGATAACAAATATGGCATTGCTTTAATTACAATACTGATTTTTTGTTTGCAACTGATATTTTCTGTGATTTATTCTTCGTCCTGAAATATATTTGTCCACAAAAGAGTATATAACACATTTATTATTACAGCGAAAGAGAGGGCCTTGTTGATGAGTAAGTACGTTTTTCCTTTGAATGTATAACCATACTCATGAATTTTGTTGTATTTTAATATTAACATTTATTATATATGAAAAATCATCAATTTAAAATTGCATAAATTACATTAACAGGTAAAAGTTTCATATTGTTTTCATAAATAAGCAAAGTGGGAAACCGAATAGGAAACACTATATCAGTTACTTCACATACCTTGAAAAACATATCTTGGGAATATGCGTTTGCTTTTAACTAAAAGCTGAACCCCTATTTATCAGATGAGTAACGCGGAAATATGAAATGTTAATTAATCATATTTGGTTTTAATGTTATATAATCATATCTTAACAGCAAACAATAGTATTGCAGATCAATTGTAACCCAAAGCTCCTTGCATGGTTACAGTTATTATACTGAGTCATTGTGTTACATTTGACGATATATTTATAATAACAATAAATGTGCTAAACCGAGGCAAATCGTTTCGCTAAGGAGGCAGTCTTTGAAATTATTAAGATATTTGTCCGACTGAGTTTCGCTATTTTTTTCACAAGAACTGCCAAAAATCCTTTTATTTTTTAGCGACAAAACAACTAAACCTTCAAATGTATTATGGCTAACAGTGTGTTACATTTACCAACGCATGATACATTTTGCTGGTTTGCATTAGCATATGTATATGATACGTGTATATCTCATTTGATTTTTGATAATCATACCCAATCGATACATGTACTCCTACATATTTTAGCGCACTCAAAGCTAAGTGCATTATCGAAATTAAGCAAATAAATGCATCGATGAATTGGCGCCCACAATATATGCAATACAAAAAAAAATAAAAAATACAGGAACTTCAACATGCGCAATCTTAATTAAGCATAATATTTTAAACGTGAAAAGCTCTGAAATACACCTACTAACTATACACATTCTTTCGTATGATTTAGTGCTTTACTAATGACGCAAATTAATATATGACTTCATACGCATATCGTTTTAAAACGTTGGAAATAATTAAAAGGCGATCACAGAGTAAAGACAGTTTAGTTATCAATGAACGTTGCTTTAAAAGTTATGGGTTTTTTGTATATAAACATATTTATTTTTCAAATTCAATTACTGCGGCTTCGATCTTTTGTGTACATGATTGATAAATATGGTAGATAGCGGAGAATTATCTTAACCCTCAAACCATATTCAAAAATCAATTATTTTTTTCTGACTCACTTTGAAAAGTTAAATTTGTTTATATTTTATTGTTACAGTATGAAATCTATTCTCCCTTCAATGTGAGTATACCTTTGTCAAATCCTAACTTTTTCACACCAGTAATATATGTCGCTATGTATTTTCTTGCCTTTTTTAAGATACGTTAATGATATAGCCATTTATAAAACACTAAAAGTTTTTGTCTGATAATAGTGTTACATTTTTGCGTTATATAACAAAGTTGTCTGCGGAAACATAACCACACTATGACATTTATTATCCCATGGCTGTTTACTTAACCAGTCAGGCTTGTATAATGGCAATGTCACGTGAACTAACATATTCTACGTTTGATTTCAGGCTGAGCAACGTCAATGAAGCAATTGCAGCGTACGTAATTCTGTATACATCTAATTTTTAATAGTTTACGATTCTCATTTCGGATCCTTCGGATTCTCACATTTTGTAATGACCTGCTTTGAACATATACTACACCCCGCATCATTTGTTTTACAAATATTAAATGACCTTTTTTGTATAAAAGAGAATATTCATACACCGATAAAACAACTTATTTTCGGAGCAATAATATGTATGTGTTTATTTACTAAATCAATGATAACCGTCCATTTGATCTTGGAACAGGTTTGAGAATGGCAGGTATGTAGCATATTTACTTAATGCTAGAATAATTGATTTCCTTGCCTCGAACAAAATATTAATAATTGAACAGTCCTCACTATCTACATATAACCATATTGATACTTATTTACTGATCCAGGTTAATAGGAACAAGTTTATTCTCTTAGCCGAAAACAATCGAGGAGACACAGATATTCATGTTTTATTCATACAAAATGCATAACGTAGATTCAATATCATTAGGCAACACTTTGATGAGAATATTAAGAGATACGTCTTGTTACTAAATCATTCAATTCCATATATGATGTCAGAATACATTTAAAATCAGCAGTTTACTTCGAATTGGTGAATTAAAAGCAACGAAGCATTTGCAGTCTATAACATTCATAACCCTACAGAATAATATGTATACCAAGTGTATATATTTGATGTAAAGCTCTATTTACCTTAAACAATGCATTTAATGATGTCTCTAATATAGTTTTGCATATATTCAGTTAACACATTATTAATGACTTAAAGCTTATTTTTATGTAGATTAGACAACCTACAGAACTTAGAATTAGTGTAAGTATATTTCAACATTAATGTGAATGTCATCTAAACCATTTTGGTAAAGTAATGATGGAAATTAACTAAGGCGACCTTGTTATATGAACAAAGTCGATAAAATTTACCTATTGGTCGACAAAATGTCAAAGAATAATGCGTCGAATTATTTTCCCTGTGTTCTGACAACGATCCCCCCTCCCTCTACCCCCC